AATCTCGGAGAAATCGAAAATTTTTTTTTGTTGTTTATTATTAGCAATGTTCTTCCGACGTCTGATTTCTTTTTAAAAAATGCGTTTCTAAAGTGCATAAACTTTTGGGATTGACTGTATAGCCAATACATCTTTAACTCCACGACGCAAAATTTTAACAATGATACGTACATACGTTTTCAAGTTATAATCAAACAGAAATTAGAGTATGGATTCGATTCGTGATATTAAAGGGATTTATTAAAACTTAATCAAGTAGATCTAAAACGCTGTTTTGAGTAAATTGCGTTATGTTAGTAACTGGTAATAGTGTGCCTAGGCGTTAGTATATTATCAATCGTGAAAAGATCGTGCTTATTCGAGTCGTTCCTTTCTTCCTGCCTTCTTTTCTAGGGTTCACAGGTGCGAATCAAACTATTCGTAACGACTGTAATATCTAGCATAGAAATCATATTATAATTTATACAATTGAAATCGGCTGGTTAAGACGATTTGAAATGGCCTGTCGGGATTTAATAGGGCAACGAACATGGAAATTTCGATTTTCTATCGCGAATTTTTTCTTCTCCAGTTTCCATTAGTATTTCCGTGGGAGCGCGGGACGTAAATGGAACGGGGGTGCACTTTCCATTAGAGGGAAATAAAATTGGATAGGACGTACGGCTGGTACCCGCGCGTCGCGATTTCGTCGTCGTGCGTTCTCTGTTTTCCCGCCGTCAATTTCGTGGCCGCGTTCCCATGCGAACGATCTGCACTATCGTCGCGCGCAATCTTGTCGTGCTTTATTGCAGTCATGAGACACGGCCAGGTGGATAACGGAAGCCTTTCCGAGTACAGGGAATAAGGGAGGCAATGAACCGTGCGAGCGAGGGGTTGGTGATGAGATCTGGTGCGTAAACGCAATACGCCTCGATTTTTCATTTCCCACCGAGGAATTGACGAATAAATTTTTATTAATTCCGTACATCAGTGAAATACACAGTTCCTTTACGTTTTACGCTTACTACCGTTTTAAGTCCGAATGGTATGCACTCGTATACCGTCGTTGGAATAACAAGGTTAAATTTTTACATTTGTCACATTACATTTTACTGCCCTTCTGAAACGTATTATAGAGTTCTTCTCGTCTAGCTTGTCCTCCGCATAAAAAGGTCTCTCGCTCTTTCGCGTAATTCTCCCTCTAAAAGATTAAATGCAAAAGGGTGGGACGGTTGCTTTATACATTCGCTTTTTGCCGGACCCTGGCCCGTGAAATCGTTTGCACATGGTAATCGTAGAATGAATACGCGCGGAGTTTATTACCAAAGAAATTATCACATTTTTAGCGGAATTAGAAATTGCGATACGGATTGGAGATCCAGACGCGTTTGGAGCGACTGGGGAAAGAAGTCGTGTCAAAAGCAATCGTTGCATGAGTAAAAACATTTTTCGTCGGTGTATTAAAAACGCCGGTCAGACACGGTTTTTAACTGCGGACTCGTTTGTACCTTCGCCGCCGCGTTTCACGCTCGTCGAGTTCCGCAGTAAAACAAAAATGGATCCCCCGCGACGAGACGGTGGTGCGTCGTCAGCCAGAGTAGAATGGGAAAAAGCTTTGCGCGCGGGTGTGACGTCCCCGATAAATCGCGCGAGGTACAAAGGGAATCCTCGAACAGTCCGGCTCTCAAGAGGATAACCTTTTTAGCGTGGCCTACCGGCCAGAAACAAGAAGTTCGCGATCTCACGGTTGAATATTACGGGACAAGTGACCGCAGAGAGGAGAATCTAGTTTTTGCGGCTTAAATGGGGGTTACCGTTTCATCCCCGGTTGGAACTCGCCGCCGTAACTTTATTTGTGGCCACTCTCTCTTTAATCTTAACTTTTCTAACTACGAAGGAAGTAAAGAGTCTCGCGATTGTCTTCCTTCGATTCGGCCTTAACGAGCAGACACTCGATTCGACAATCGTGTTTTCCTATTTGTCAAGATGGTATAAAAGTTTCGAGAGGAGACCTAATTGGTTTAAAAAACGTCGTTTGTCCTCAAGAGGATGAGGCTTCTCATAGAAACGGGATTCCGAAACGGTTAATGAGATTACTGGAAGACAATCGTCGTCGTTGTCTCAATCGCGTCGTACAAGGAATCGAACCAGTGTCTCTGATGTAAGGTGCACCCATGGGTGTTCTTGTCAAAGACGCCGCTCGGAAACGAGTACACGGTCGAACGGTAGCACATCGGGTGATACTGTTTACCATTAGATTAATATTCCTTTGGCGGCTGTCTTATTCTCGGGGTTCTGGTGCGTTGCCAAAAGCGCATACTGTTTCTTCTACCGTAAACGGGAACTCGACCCTCCGTTATAGGCACGTCGGATATCATGGAGCCACGGGTCAGTCGGAGGTTAGGCGGACAGCCGGGTAAAAGCGGGTTTGAATAAATTAATTAACCGACGAGATAGGATAGGACGAGATGATGGAGACGGGATATTAAGTCACGGTTTAGGATCGCGTATACAGAATTCCCGTGGTTCATTAGCGAAGAAAGGCTAATTTCAGATAGCCGAATTTGACGGTATGTATTAATCGATTTAATTGCCTAGTGGAAATGTTTACGTTAATATCATGAAATAACGGTATAGAGCCTCGTAACAGTTTATAGGGTAGTTTAACGACGAAATGATGATGACAGGGCTTGGCTAATGAATAGGAAGGGAGTTGCCTTCCAAAGATAGGAGTGGTATCCCTCTTGAATTAATTGGCGTGGGTGGAAGACGATTAAGTCTAGGCAACGTGCATATCGTGTGCCTGGTCGGAGAATCGAGAAAATCCGAGCCGAGAATACACTTCCCCGACGAACGACTATCGCGTCGCTTATCAAACAGTCATAGTTGACGTTCGTCCTCTTTGATACAGTACGTTACGGTGTGTACTCGAACACGCTGAAGAATTCATCCACTTGTTCCTGGACAAGCATCGCAATCCCTTCTCGTCAAGTACTCGCTGGTACACAATGGGAACTCCACGAATGGGTTGTGTTAGTCGCAACAGTTAGAGAATGGAAAACGAAGAGATCTTATTAAAGTCCGGTTCCGTCCGTTCTTCCCCTCACGGTTCCTTAAAGTTTCTTCGAGATATTTAGTAGTTCCCTGTTTCGCATCGCAATACGTAAAACAAGGCCAACTTCGCTTCAAGATGCTCGTTTATCAGCTGATAACGCGGCAAGGGTTGACGTCGCCTCGCGTAAACGAACTCGGTTCCACGATTTTATTTAAACATCGGTAAACATTTAAATGCTTAAACTTTTCCGACTCACATTGCAAGCCTGATCTTCCTCGTCCCAACGGAAACGACAGTTGACTCTGCCGTTGCACTGCAGTTCCGCCGCAATGCAAGTCGCGTCCTCGCAGTAGTATTCGTCGTCGGCGCAAGCTGTAACAAAAAAAAAGAGAGGAGAACGCTAATTACCATAGTATAAGGTACCTTCGTCTTTTAGTTGCCAGTTACGTCTTAGGATTACTGTTCCATTAACGTGAGATTTAAAGGGAAGCGAGATCCCTTAACGCCTTTTGCTGTTACCTTTCCCGCGGCATTAAAGTAGCGCCGCAAGGGAAAAGTGGCGTCGGTCGGATTTGAAAAACGGTATCGAATTCTACGGGAAGTGAAGGGCTGATCCGCTATTCATATGTGTGTAACACGGTCGAACGGGATGGTAACGGTGGTAAAGAAATTTTCATTTAAAATCTTATCGCCGTGGGAGATAGCGAAAATAAGTGAATTTTGCTCGAGTCCTTGGGCAACTCACTCGTAAGATATTAGTTCCTAGGCGGTGGATGCGGCACGGGGGAGGGGGGAGGACAGGAATTCCTCTCGTGCCGGGGAGAGAATTTCGTACGCGTAACCGTATCAAGGCTTTACCCCATTTGCCATTCAGCCGAGTCTCTGTCTCCATTAATATAGAATTGGTGTCCCTCTCCCCTCGACTGATTATTTCCTGAGATATGAATCGGTTAAGCCGATTATGTCTTTTTATCGATATCGTCGTAATTATCGGCCACCGACCTACAGGCTGCCGTTGGCTCGTCCAACTTTAATCGTTGAGTTCATTCTTTGAATTTCGTACGCCACGAGTAATCAAGTCAAAACTAGAAAGTCTTAAGCAGGGACAAAGGATTCACGGATTTTGAAAATCTTCCCGATGAAGGATAAACGAATCATGTTTTTCAATCTAGCACTTTGAAAAATGCAACTGCTGTAATAACGATTAATACGGCAATTACCTAATTGCGCGCTCCTGACTCATTTTTTTCCTCGGGCCCGCCTATAAAACACGCCAGACATTAATTCCCTGATCTCCATTAGACCGTATCTCTCTATTCCACGGCTTCCGGCGTGAAGCACACCGCTGTTAAATTTAATGAAACTTAACATCGAAATTACTTGCGTGCCGCGAACAAAGAGCCATGGTGATATTCGCGCGCCGTGCCATCTAATGGAAATTAAACTTTCTTGTTCGCGCTCTCGTGAAAGACCAGCCAATTACTAGTGCTAACTCTATTATCAGGGGATGTTGTCTCGTTAAAAGATATAATTAGGTTACAACCGCCTTTTGTCCTCTCGCGTAACGTTCAATGTCGATTTTCACGTTTGCTCCTACCGAAAATCAGTATTAATTAATAATTTTATCCGATCAGTCGACGTATTCTTTGCCTGCCTTTGCGTTCATTGTTCTTAATTACATTTCGAATATGTGGTTAATTGTCGGGTTGGATGTTCGTTATACGATTACGTATCTTCGTCTAGTGTAATATCGGGTTTCACTTAGGGAAGCGTAAAATTTCCGTTAGGTATTGGGTGATTGTACACGGGGAGAGTATCGGATCAGGATGCGAGCACGCGATTGGAAAGCAAACAACGGGTAACAACGCGATAATGTTCCGACTGTGAATGATATTTGAAGCGAGCCTCCCGAAGGGGGGGTCGCGTTGCGAAATAATATTGGCGACGATATCACGGTGAAAGCTCGTCGCGTTGAACAATTAATCGTATAGGATGTATGGTTGCGAACACTCACGTTTGTCCCCGGGGTCTCTGTCCCTGATCGCTGTCATCACGGCCTCGAAGCTGCTGTTCAACGCTTTAGGCTCCGCGTAAAACCTGACAAAGGCGGTATTGGTGTTGATGAGGACGGTGTCGGCAATGCTGCCGCAGAAATTCTTCTTTCTCGAGGACATGTCAGTGCGTTCTTTGAATATGTCCACGAAGTTGGCGTCGCACTCGTTCGGTCGTTGCAGCTTGAAGCTGAGATCCGGGAACGTCAGCTGAATCTGAAAGTTGTACGTGTCCTCCGCGATAAAGCTCTGGCTTCGAGGCTCCCGAGCCTCCCCCCTTCCGTCGCCCGTCCGTTCGGCCCTCCGTCACCGGCGATGACGAACGGTGAAAAGCTCAAAGGATTTCCACCAATTAGGCGGTACATTTTATGAGGACGGGCCGAACGGTCACAATTAGTGCCGTTTTTCCGTCGGGCGTGATTTCGTTTGACCGTACCGTGTCAAAGGCACAAAGTGAATCTCGTACAATTTCAATCGCGTTCATAGATGAACTCTCAGACGTGCCGCGGTGATTGTTCTACTGACGATTCGAATCGATATCTTGTTTGACTTTACCTTCCACCCCTCCTTGACCGTGATGTTCCACAAGCAGTCCAACGAGATGCCTTCCTTCACGGACGCGTTCTTCCTGTCTTGCACGTCGTCGCTGTTAATGATCGCCTGCATCCCGGTCACGTTCCTTACGCACGGTTCCGGTTCCGGTGGCACTCCCGCTGTGAATCACACCTATTACAGTCTATTACACTTTCTCTAGAGCGTCGCCGTCGCGTAGGGCGTTTACATTTCGCGTGTCCCATTCTCCGATCCGCCGGCGGAGTTCGGCACGTCTCGTAGAAAAATTAGAGAGGGAATAGAATAGGGGAGAGAAATAAAAGAAAATGCACGCGGCCATTGTTCGCGATATAATTAATTTTCCATTCCGAATCGGCGTTATATAACGGCAGTCCCGGCCGGCACAATGAAAGGCTAGCGGAGGGGGTGGAGGAAATGAATGAAACGTGGGAAAAGATTCACCGAACCCGTGTCCGCCCTCGGTGTCTGATTAATTTCCCCTCTCGCGAGTGTTCTTGAATTTGAGCAACCTACGTTTTAATGTTTGGCTCTCTCGTTAAAGAGCGGATAGAAAGCCGGGCGTTTTGGAGCGTGTTAAGAGAGCGACGCGATATTTAAACGGCATTCATCGCGTTCAAGCGAGGCTCAAATGCGCGGGAATAATGAACGGTACGAGGCCTGGCGGATGAATAGCCGAGTTCTGGTAATTCCGGTACGTATCGGCCTTTTCCGCGGGAACGGGACATTATTCAACAAAGCAAGTTACGATATATCTATCGAGTACGTATTTCACCGCTGTTATCGATTCTACCTATAGAACTATCTGCAAAAGCGAAACTTTCATATGCTATTAAGCTTCGTTACTACAAACTACACTCGAACTCATGTGTCTGAAGCACTCTTCAATTTCCCGAATCAATCCGGATAGAAATTTCGAAATCGCTACCGTTTAAACGATTGTATATCGCTATTCATAAGTTTTAACTCGTTGTAAAATGAACGAACAAATTAAAAAATGAATAATATAATTGCACACATCACTTGATTAACTGTACTGATTTAATCTACGATTTGTTGTATGACTTATTGGATTCCAATTATCGTGTCTGAAGCATTCTCTAATTTTCCGCATCAGTCCGGATAGAAATTTCGAAATTGCTACCGTTTAATCGATACTATATTGCTCTTCATTTTTAGCTTGTAAAATGAACGATATTAAAAAATGAATAATCGAAAGAATTCTATATATGATTTAACTGACTGTATCTATGATTTATTTTATGATTTAACGTATTACTACAATTACATAGGTTATTTAATTGCTTTTACTACGATCGTTCATTCGATAAAATATTTGTCAGGTTCTTGATAAAGAGCACTTGGACTTGTGGACGAACGTTATTTTAGTCGAGCGCGCTAGTTTTTCGACACGAGTCCACGTATCTGCGATTTATTATCGCGTACAAGATAAAAAAGCTTCGCGCTGAGATCGCGGGCTCGGGGAATCCCGGCCGGATTGGAAGCTGCCCAACATATTCGCCGGGGCTAATGCCCGAACGTGAATTCTAATCTGAGAGCCACCCGTTTGCCAATCGCTTTTGTTTTTAATGAATGGCGAACGACGTTTCGCTGTGCGATAAATTTCGCTCGTTCCCCTTATACTTTCGTGCCTCTCCAGCACCGTAAAATCCATCGACACTAGGTAACAACGGCTCGTTGGGGAACAGACACCGACAAAAAGGTTATTCTACGCTTCAGTTCCTTCACGGTAATAGTCACTACGTATAAAGCTCGTTGGCTTGTTTATGCTCGCGTTAAATTGACGTACAAATTTTCATTCCACACGTGTGTTTCACTTTTACGAATAAAATTTCAACGTGATTTGTCACATAATCCGTATGAATTAGAGGAGGTCGCGCTGCGTTGCGGAAGACACCACTAAAAGAGATCTATGGAGAGCCTCGATAGCTCCTACCCGGTAGTGGGTGTGTTCTCGTTCGTCCTGGTAGCTATGAATTAATTTTGGTCTCCATCCGCGCCTGCACCGTGAATTCATCTATTCCTAAAGTGTCTCGTAATTTCTCCACCGAGAACTACAGAGCCCGGTGGAATCCCCCAACGTTGATAAAACCCACGAATGTTATTCTTTCGAATATCTCCTCGTCTTCTCTGGTTAAAATCGTTTAAGCTTGTTAAAAACCAATTGCCGTAAGTAATCGATGTGCTTCAAATATTTTTCAGACACACAGACAGTGTGTCATTAAGACTTTTATATAAAACATTCCTGGTACAAAACCATCCATTAATTTTAATTCATTACATTATAGCAATTTATTCATTCAGTAAAATGAAATGAAAAATTCATACGAAACAATCATGAAGTAATGAAATCAAAAAGTAATTCATTTCATATGATTATTGATATTCTTATTTACCCACCAATATTTGCTCGAGCATTTTATTTTTCTCGTATCCCATAATCTCGAACCGCGGTGACAGATTTTTTAAATTGGGTAAGGAAAGTGTCGCACGGCATTCGGTGGCAACGTGACGTGACGGAAAAAAAGAGGAATATCGTAATACCGTGGACTTACGATAGGTCGGTCTCGGAATCATAGTCCATACGGCCTTGAATCCCTTGTCCTCGATGCTCTCGTCACTGTAGAATCGCAGCCAAAGGTATCTGGTCTTCGACGTGATCTCTGGGGGGAAATTCCTGCCGCAGAAGCTGCCGAGGAGATTGGAGTAGCCGTGCTGGCCGTCACGTACCTCGAGGAAATCGTAACGACAGTTGGCGCTCTCCTCGAGCTTGAACACGTCCCGAAAGTCGAGCTTCAGCAGCATACCTTCGCTCGCTGGAAACGAGAAACGACTTTACCCATTGTGTCGTTAGAGAGGGTAGCATCATGGCGTTGTTCCCTGAACTTCTCATTTTTCTAGTGATTAGAGTCGACTGAACGGGTCCATTGTCATTTCTGTCGTTCTTTTTAAATCGAAATTCTACGCATATTGGTAATTCCCGTTGGCGAGGAAATTCGAATAGACGGGTAACGTTTCCAATTATTTGGAAAGTGGAAAAATGTGAAGGACTGAAAATCGAGTCTCAGATGAATCGTTCAAGTTCCCTGCGATCCTATACGACTTGCACGACGAATATTCTAATGTCGTTAGCCTCGGAACCTCGTCGCCGTGGCACTTGGCCAGGATATTCGTCGCGGTTGTCACGCAATTTTTTTCACACACGGAGTACACGGTACTTTTCCGCCACGATTTTTATCCGCTGTAATGGGACATTTTAAAATGAAAGTCGATTTATAAATAACAGCAACATTATAGTTTCAATGATTAATGAAAATTTTTACTAAATCGGATTTTTGGCATAAAAATCTGCGGTTTATTGATTAGAACCACGATCTCGTGTAAAATCCTGTTTGATACTGAGTTTTTCATTCCCGGCGACGAGTTTTTCGCGATAAATCAGAGACTGCGTCATCGTCGACGTGATCCCAGGGGAACGTGTTAACGCGCGATTCGTAAAAATCAAACGGCTTGTGCTTAACGTATAAATTCCGGCGCGATGCAATCTGCAACGAGGCTGTTGGGTTCCAAATCCGCCTTCACTTTCACCGGTCGAGAATTATCATGGGAATTATTTGCCGCGAGTCGATCGTTACAATTTCATTTTATCTCGGCTCAATCCAATAGAACCAGCAGGATTTCGCGGCCTGCGGGTGAGTATCAGATCTAACCACCCTTTGCTCGATTCGCGGGTAATTTCCGCACTATCGAACAATCGCTTGCTCTTTCCGTATAATTATTTGAACGGGAAACAAAGATTCTCCCTTTGAAATCGGGGCCCGAGTACGCGAAATTTTCGGATCGTGTTCGGCGAGCCTTTTAATACCGTAACTCTCTGCGGAGGTGGTAGCGTATCTATGAAATAAAAGAGCGATAGAGAGGGAGCCTCCGGGAGATGTGGCGCAGGTACGCTCGTAAATATTCGGTGTTTGCGAATAAAATATCTCCGTATTGCCGTTCGCGCTGGGCTACAATTTATGTACCTCCCACCCACGGGTCTTTCCTAAGGAAATTATCTGAAAATTACATACCGGGTGCGACCGCGACTTACGAGCGCAGTTCGTCAAACGATCTTTCCGCAAATTCAAGCGTTTCAGTGGCGAAGTTATTATTATCGTTTTTCCCAGCATCGTACTCGCGTAAGATGCTATTATTTTCGCTCACGGGTGCCTATTTATGCCGCGCTGTGAATGAAACTTTTGGCCATCGGCTGAGACCGACCCACGCGTGCCATTTCCGTCCGAAGGACGGAGTTCGAAGGAATTCATCGCGGCGACGGGGTGGAAACCGTCATTGAGGATGATTTCAGTTGTCACGCAAGGTGCGAGGAAAATGGTGCGAACGTTTCTGGGTTTCTCTTTTGAATAGTAGATTCTCAGCGCAGTCGTCGCTCGTTCGGATGAAACCCGCGTTCTATCAGCAAAGGAGAAGTGAGGGATCGAGGGGGAAAAAAAAAGGAAGAAAGCGTCTGCGTCGCGAGCATTTTCTTGGAGAGGGAAGAAGCGTCTCTAAAGCGGAGGCGATCCCACCCCCAAACCGCCGTCGTCCGCATGGAAATGTCCCGGTATTCTAGTTACGGAACGGTCGATCGCATTTTTTCACGGATCCGAACCGTCTGCCTCCGCTACTTTCACGCCTCATTATCTTTAAATTGTGCCACCTTCCGTTTCCTATTTGTAATCATTAACTACTCATGATTCTCCTTTATTTTACAAAAATCTGCTTCCTGCTCGAGTCATTTGCTTCACTATTCACAGAGGCATCCTCTAATACACGTGACAACTGACAACTATGTCGTTGAGATTTATATTAGAAATTACGCTTCACCAGAGATGAACAGTTGTTAAACGTCAGAGACGAGAAATTTCAGCGATGGTTCAACCGTCTGTAATATCTGTTCACTAGTCGAGGCTCGCGGGCGTTGTCAATGTTTAACGCGAATTTCCGCGACGTTTCAGCCACCGTGAATGCCACTTACGCGCGGAACGAACGGTTTCCGTCACCGGTACGAAACTTCTCTTCTCTCCGGTTCGCGAGATCCGAGGAATGCGCGAGTATCCGAGCGCGTTACGCGCGCAACCGCGATATTAGCGTGTACCGCAGCATGTTCTCTCCCGGCATTCCTTGGGGGATCATCTGTCTTGGAATTGTGCCACGACCGTCGCGTTGCTACCACGTAATTTTCCCTGTAACTCCGGTTTTCTAATGTTCAATCATTTATTACTCGTACCGTCTGCTTTACTTTTATTCCTGTTCCTCCTCGTAGTTTTATATAACCTGGCTACGAATTTAATTTGTAAATATGGCATCTTATCGAAAATCGATTGGGAATTCTTTGGTGGAAATTTGATTCTGATCCAACGTTTGGTCCCTCGCGATGAAATCTAGAAAGGAACGCATTAGAACGATCATCCTGTGCAAAACAACACATTCGCCTGGGGAAACGGCTATCGTGAAAACTAGAATAAAGAAACGCGTTCGAACTTTTTTACTCCGAAATCCGAAATTCCTTGGTTTCTCTACGATTTCACTGTTCCTTATTCGCTCGGACGGATTTTTCCACAGTAGGAGTATAAAGGCGTGTGTTGCTTCCAAGCTCAATCAGCTAAACCGGTCTGTTCTAGAAACTCTTTGCGAGAATGGTTTTCAAACGAAATGTTTATCGCCAGCGAAACTTCGTAGACGGAAATTTTTCGCACGATGAAAAGCAATGTACGCACCATCGGTCGCTGAAATCGAGAGCAAACAAGACGCTCCGCTAATCCGCGGCGTGTATCGCAAACCAAACACGTATCTTTACTTTCGAACGAATCCGATTTTATATAAATGGAACCAGATTTCATCGAGCCTGGGTCACTGCCTATCGTCGTCATTTTATACACGGAGCCGACATTAAATTCCGTGGGAAATACAATTTTCTTATTCATATCGTGGAACATGATGTGTATTTAAACACGCGAGTCGATGATTGGCTACGATGTTAATGTCTCCTATTTTTTTTTTACTCCCGTGAAAATGGTTCTCGAGGGAAATGGCAAAATTTATGACGCGAACATTATAACGTCAGCCTCGGGAACGACGTCGTCGTCGTCGTCGGTTTTACAACGTTCCATCTTTTCCTTTTTTCACGATTTCCATCTTAATTATTTTCCTCGTCGAGCTAACATATTTCGTTGCTGTGAAAATTCAATTCCGATCGGCGGTGATTCCTGTTTCTGAAGCGGTGAAATTATAACATCGCAGCACGTGGCAGCGACGCGTTCGCGAATTCGTGCATTTAAGAGCTTAAGGAGACGGTGAATAAATATCCAGTCTGGTGTTCCGTGTTCACGGGCGAACGAGCAAACTTTATCGCGATTTTATTTCAATTTTCTCCTTGGGAATAAAAGGGGCTGGACCTCGAGGAGAAGATCCGTTGCTTGCTTTTTTGTCCGAGTTAAATCCTCTACGGAAACCGTTTCACCATTGTAACTTGTCCCCCAACTTATTTTTTTGCCGAGGCACGATTTATGATGCGCCACCCTCCTTCGTGATACACCCGGATTCGTATAATGTATCCATTTTCCGAGGACCGCCATCAAACCAGCCGAATGGTCAGCGATAATGGGTAACCGCAATGGGGGAACAGTTTTTCTCGCGCCGCCGCCGCGGCGATTAATATCGGACGACGAGGAAATTATTAGAGGTGTTGTTCAACCGGGCGTAAAAGGGGAAACCGCGTTCGTTAAATTTTATTTAGCCCAGCGTGATCTCGCCCGGTGTGTAAAAAAGAAACGGAACGCTTTTACGGTTTTTATTAACGAGGTAGAAACCAATGAGCGGGATGCCGCGAAAAACGTTTGCCAAGGCGCTCGTACCAGAGGTTGTGACTATATTTTACAAAGGGGGTTAACGCAGCCTGGCTATACTTCACGTTACGGGGTATTAGGCGGCTTAAAGACGCTACGGCTTCGTGAAATAGAGCGGAGCACTGTTCCTTTACATTCGCATCAACCGGGGAGAACGTTTAAACGAGTTCCCAACGACGGGGTGACCGTGAACGGGCGCAGCGTGATCCGCCATGAAAACCGACCGTTTTCGGAGATACGCCCTTAAGAAGGGGCTGTCGAGACAGATCCTGCCAGGAATTTTATGTACCGGCGTTCTTCTTTATCTGTACTCTGGGACGCGCGTGCTCCTCGACGTTTGATTCGATCTCGAGAACGGAGGAAGAACAAAAAGCCAGCTTCAATGATATAAATCGATAAAACTTTTCGCCACTCGGGTCCGCTCCTCTATCTACTGGATTTTGTCCAAACCCTTTTTATCTCTAGGGTCAAGAGAAGAAATTAGCATATCGTACTAAGCTAACAAAGCTGCGGCATTATCGTATAAGCTTTAGCACACGACAATCGACAGTTTCAAATAAAACTATTAGAACTGTGAAACGTTTTCGTTGTTCCACGACGTTATTTATAAAAGTCGTCTTCCGATCCAATGGATTTAAAAAATGTGCACCGCGTCTCTTAATAAATCGTCCCCTGCAAAATGTTCGGACTGTTCCTTTTGTGCTGGCCTCGTATTATGTTCGGTTCGCTTGTCGCGCGGATAACCAGATTAAAACAATGTTCGGTTTTCTTACGGTTACGACGGGTGATGAATCCGAACGGGGACACCCGCTCGTTTTGTCACCGTGGGTGATGTATAGGAGAATGGACGCAGTTCGGTTAAACGCGTCGCAGCCGGCTCGAGATTTCCGCTTTTCGTAGTGATTCATTGCAGTTAGGACGCGTTCGAC